TCATTTTGTTCTGATATCATATGAAGTGCCTCTTGATAATCATTTCATCTGAATTTGGAGGTTAGCTAAAGTATGTTTGGATTCAGTGAATTAAAGACGATAAATTTGCGTCTAACTTGGATATGAAAAAGTAAGAATAGTAAATTAGACAAGAAAGAAAGAAATCGGTATTGAAATGGTAAAGAAAGTAATCGTATAAACTGTATCCGCATATGCAGATCTAGGTTAATCTAGAGTATCTCACAGGCATTTATCATAGTTCTCCACTGTCGTCAAATAAACCATACTTCATTTGAACACGTCAAGGAATTTTATTACGATATAGTTTATCAAATAATAATATTTAATTATCATCACAAGAACCAAAGTATGTACATGATGATTTTCGAAGGAACTGCTATATGTTGTTTCAAAACATAAATGTCATAATTGGCTAGTCATGTTCGTCATTACAGAGAAAATCTATAAACATAGTGGCTAATATTCATATGTTCAATTGGTTTATTCATTTCTTTTTCTTACTCATGATAATAAACAATTGCATGTTAATTTCCACTTTAACCAATAGCTGATCATCTTTTACTGTAAGTTTACTGTAGTTTAAATACTACTTTCAGTATTTAATCTCCACCCATATATAATCAAATACAGTCAATCTATTTAATTTGATTTGATTCATTTACGAGTTAATTTAAAATAAACAAACCTATAAACACCAATAAATATATTTAACTCTATACATTAACTATAGTAATAACATTATATTATTTTAATTACATAATTCTTATCAGTTATTAGTAAGTTGTTTTTTTTTATTCATCAAAATCAATTGTTCATGAAGGTATGTAGTAGATATACTAAGCTAATTTTTCTTCACTGTTTATTAATTTATGTTTAAATTGTTAGTTAGATTTCTAACTTTAACTTACATTCGATCCCCAAATGCTCTGGTACGGCCGAGAGTGGAAAGAGTTAGCTCTTCCTCTCGAAATGCTTTCACATGGCCACATGCATACAACCACTGTCAGGGAAGTCCTACTCAACGGAAAGGTCACCTAGTGGGGTTGGAAAGCTCTGATTACAAACCGATGATGCACATGGGCTCCAGGATCCTGAGGGCCTGCATTTCCTGAAGTTGTCCCATTGCTTTGTGGATTAGACACCAAGGCAGTATCCCAGCCCTCACATTAATCGAATTATTTATGTGGCGTATATCAATTTGGTGCCTCCTTGTACCATTGTTTATGTGTCTAAATAAATAAATAACTTACCTTCGAATAAGTAAATTGTGTTTGAAAAATAATGCATATTCTTAACCGGTATTTTTAAAATTGACAATGGTCATTTATTATTCTATGGTATCTTGCATGTTTACTCAGGAATATCTAACTTTGGTAACAAAAAATGGATGTTTTATTTTTACCTGGAATTCTTTAAATAATCACTGTTTCAATTTCTTTGTGATTTGAACTTAGTAGGTTTATGATTAGAAGTGATTATCCGAACACTGAAATTCAGCGTTTTAAACATTTATTCATTCTTGATAATAACATAGTTCTTCCAAGATCCTTTCAAATTATTCTCATCCTTAATCTTGAAAAAAAATCCAAATACTGACTCTTAAAGGTCATCATTAAAAAAACAACAACTAAAAACGGCTCAAATAATATTTATTTCATTATCAAGGTATTATTAGTGTGACTTTTCTGAAAATAATTTACACTTTGGTTAGCAGTAAAATTTACGAAGGGAATTTTAGCCAAGAATATCAAAAGAGTGATAGTTTAAACCCTCATTAATGATGATATAAATATTATACCTGTGGTCCAAGTGAGTGGTTAACTGTACTCAGTAGCTCATTGGATAATGCGTTAGCTGTTTAATGACATAGTTACTGGGTTTGAGTCCCAATGTGAACGTAAACTTTGGGATGTAGACATGTTTAGTCGACAAGTCCCAAATATGATGAAAGTCGAGTTCATGATTCTATTGCAAGACACAATTTTGTATTGCCTGTATTATTCATATCATTGCTACTAATACGACACCTGGTAGCATACTCTTACTGTTGTTGTTTATTAGTTGTGTGGTCTAAATTTTCGATTAACAAATTACTGTGACTGGTCTGATGCTCTGATAAGAACGATATTGTTAGCCCACATAACTTTTTCTCATAAATGATATGTGAAATTTGCATATATGTTTTGCACTTTATCAGTGAAGTTATGTAACTCATCTATCAAGTAAAGTTACACATACTGTAATTTAAGCAATGTTGTTTATTAATGAAAAACTGAGATAAATCTACAATTCAAAAATAAAACTAAATCGAGTAGAAATTTAAGCCTACTACTTAGTGATTTACATATATGTGCTTAACTATCAAGTAAATGCTCCCAACCTTAAAGAATTGTACGTTTCTAGTAAGAATCCCTGAGATTACTTTTGAAAATTTTCTACAAATTTTACAAATTTCGATAATACAATGAGAAGACGTAGTTTATCAGAATTATGTGATATATTTGCTCAATACATTTCGAACAATCTGACCATACATATACTTGTTAAGAACGTTTGTATTTGAAAATTAAAAGGTCAACTAGACAGGTTAAGGGTAAGTCATAACAAAAGAAAAATAATAAAGTACACAAAAACAAATGCGATTACCACTCTGGATAATAAGTCAGGGTAGGTTAAGTGTAAGGACAAATTGTTTTTGAACACATAAAGGGGGTTTCAATTTCCGTATAGTCAAGGCTTCAATAAACCTTTGTATACGTCCTTGAAGGCTTTTGTACAACACTACAAATGCTGATTTGATATCAACCTTATGACCCGTCTCAATCAAATGTTTCGCAATGGATGATGATGTCTGTCTATCCTGTGATCTTATTTGACCATTGGAATTCATCTGATTCTGCAACCATTTTGGTATATGTTCACCCACCCTTAATTACAAATCACGATTGCTCCTCCATATGTACGTGTTTCCATACATACATGTAAATTGATAGACACAATGGGATGTGACACAATCGCTTTCGTGCTGTTTGGGCTTTTGGTGAAACATAGACCTTGTCTTTTCGATAATCACAAGTTGGGCTGCATAAAATGTCCGGTTGATAGCTAATTTAAGTATCCGTTTCAACATGAGACTATTTGTGTCACCTCTGAATGGTAACGTAATATAAACTTGCTTTCTGGGTGCCAGAAGCGTCATAGGTCTAGTCGTATTGCAACCCCTCCAGCGGTTTATGAACTCCAAAGAATAACCATTATTGATTAACGCATTAGTCAAGAGCTTCATCTCTACTTCAATAGTATCACTAGTACAAATACGATTGATTCTATTGAATAAGCTCTTTATTAAACCGCGTTTGTAATGAATAGGGCAGTGACTATGAAAATTAGGATATTGTCCTGTCCATTTTGGTTTTCTATATATAGCACGATTGATGGAACCATCATCTCTCCTACTAATCAGGATGTCAAGAAAAGGAGGTTGGTTGTTCTTCTCTTCTTCACATGTAAGAGAAATGGGCTTTTGACTACCATTGAATTCTTCTAACAAGCGGTTTATGTCTTCACTTTTATCCCCTATGATTATTATGTCATCCACATATAGCTTATACAGACCCATCTTTCGAATTAAGTCTTCAACTAACCTGTCTAGTTGACCTTTTAATTTTCATTTATAAATGTTCTTAACAAGTATATGTGTGATCAGATTGTTCGAAATGTATTGCGCAAATATATCATATAATTCTGATAAACGACGTCTTCTCATTGCATTATCGAAATTTATGAAAGGGACTAATTGTTTTAAATTTTACAAATGCTGAAACTATTTCGACTAGTCAGTAGTACTTGTAACCTTTCATAACAAGTCTGGAAAGAGACTAGTTTTGTTTTCCTTATTATCATTCGACAGATATTGAATTTATTGCTCGTTTTCGCAACATTTTAAGTGGCTTTCAGAAACTCCAGGTCGTCCATATTCTAATTAATACCTCCTGTGCTTTGCAACTAACTTAGTCTTAGAAATAGAGTGTCTTTCCACATTTTCTGCTTTATATGATCTGTTTGGGCTTTAAGAATAATGTACTTGTAGCTGTTAGGATGTGACTAAGAAATACTTACCTAGTATTTGGGGCGTTAAATGTGAGTTTTCATATAATCTTTCTTCTGTCATATTATTAATGATCCAAATCAGTTTCACAAAATTGTTTATGACGTCTAAGAAAAAATAAAGTTCATTTTATTTCCGACACTATTTATGTCTGTGAAAAGTGCTTACAATGGTAAACCATAAAGCTTAGTAATTTAATTGTTGAATTCATGACTAGACCACCATGAAAAACCTAGACGGCCGTTTCATCCTAGTATGGGACTTCTCAGTAGTGAGCATCCACGATCTCGCCCCGCAAGATTCGGACCCAGGATCTGCCGGTCTTGCCTGTGAACACTTAATCTCTAGACCGCTGAGCCGGCGTCCAACAGTGTTAATGTCTAACTTTAACCAACCCACGAAATCGCGCCACCATCTATCACTGTCATCAGTGAGTTAATATCTCACAACATACTCGGTTGAACTCCATAGGTCACGGCTTTTCACTAGAACTCCAGGAAATACCTCTTGGTGGAAGTAACTGATAAGGAGTCCCATACTGGGACGAAACAGCCGTCCAGTGCTTTCAGCTTTTTCATGGTGGTCTAACTTCAATCGACTCATGAATTCAACAATTAAGTTACTTTAATATCCTCAAAACTCCTCTCTGGTTATAAAGTTTAGTGATAAAAATTTTCATAAATCAAACTATTTGATCCGAGTTTATGAAAATTCGTACATTCATAATAATTTCTAGTACAAAGTCGAAATTTATATATATATATATATATATATATATATATATATATATATATATATATATCTTATTTATACATTTTAGAGAACATTTCATCAACATATACTTTGTAATTGTCATATTGAAAGATACGGAATGACAAATGATAATAATCCTTCAAATTGTGTAAACAATTCACCAATATCTATTAAACCATCAATGGATAGATTGCCAAAATGTTCTATAACAGATTTTTATTACTTGTTGCGTTTATTTATATCTGAATTAATTGGTACTGGGACATTATGTTTTGTTGCTGTATTATATAGTTTTCCACCAACTACCAATCCAGTATCTGATTGTATTATTGTATTTTTTACATTTTCTTGGATTGTATGGATGTTTGGACCGATAAGTGGAGCACAAATTAATCCAATAGTAACTATTGCATTCTTTATTACAAGAAAAATAACAATAATCCATACTATCCTATTTATAATATCACAATTAGTTGGTGCAATTTTAGGCGCATTTATAGCTAGAAGTTTATTGCCTAATGATTTATCACAATTAAATAAAATTGGTTTAGTTATGAAAAATCCATTAATATCACAAGGTAACGCTGTTGGATTTGAACTTTTTGGTGGATTTGCAATTGTATTAGCTATTCTAGCTACAACTGATGAATTTCGTCCAAATATATGGACAGCTGGATTATTTACTAGTTTACCATTTCAAATGGGAGTTGTTCATGCCTTAGTAGTTGGAATATTAGTAAGCTATTTATTAATTTATATTATTTATAAATTGTTCACGATAATTGTATTCAATTGTAGCCTGTCATACTAATAGTATTTTTGAAATCATATCACTTAAATATTGTTTTCATATAAAAAATGAAAAACAGTCTAGCAAACAGGTTAGTTTGTATGCTTATAAAACTAGATGTCATCTTGTAGACTAAAAGTGGCATGTTTCCTAATGATCTTCGTCTTCTTATTACATTATCGAAATTGACATGTATTACTTCATGTGTACAAACCACAAATTAACCGAATTGGAACAGAATCGTCTACAGAAAATTGTTATTGCTGAACAGCAACCAATTATATTGTTACCTACTTACTTACTAATGCCTGTTACCCCCAATGGAGCATAGGTCATCGACCAGCATTCTCCAAACCACTTGTTCTGGGCCTCCATTTCTAGTCCTATCCAATTATTGTTCATTCTTCTCATGTCGGTCTCCATTTCTCAGAGCAATTTGTTCGTTGGTCTTCCTCTTCTCCTATGGCCCTGAGAATTACAAGTGAGGGCTTGCATTGTGACATAGTTGGGTGATTTCCTCAATGGGTGTCCTATCCACTTCCAGCTCTTCTTTCTTATTTCTTCCCCCGCTGGAATCTAGTTTGTTCTCTCCCATAGTAGGTTGTTGCTGATCTTGTTTGGCCAACGGATCTGAAGTATTTTACGTAGACAACTGTTAATAAACACCTGTATCTCCTGGATGATGGCTTTCGTAGTTTTCCAATTTTTTGCCCTATACAGTAGAACTGTCATGATACTTGTGTTGAAAATTTTATTGTACAAACCTTATAACTAATCATCAGTGCATTTTCAACGTCCAAGTAGTATCTGTAATCTATTGAGCCATTATATTTTTGTGACGATTTAATAAATATATGAATCTTACCACGTAATATAACATTACGGTGTTGATACGTTATTTCATTGGAACCATGAACTTGACATAAAATTGAATGTACTTTTAACTCATAAGAGATCTTCTTTAAGGACAAATGTCTAGTACTCTACACTATTAGTACATAAGACCTATGTGATAGTTATTACAACATACAATATTAAGTTTATAGTTGAAAGGCTACTCGGTTTTGACGAATAATTATGTGAAGAACTAGTTCTGGAAATAATAATAATAAACATTAAAAGTCGCTTACTAATGACTAAATTTAAGAGGCAGTCTCCTGAGTTCGAGTGAGAAGCTGTGACCAGTCAAGTTCATTTATGTCGCATGTGAGAGAAATGTCATTTGTGATAATGGATAAAAGTCATATAACATTGTGATTTCACATAATCTAGGTATTAAAACCAATGGAAGTCAACTTTAAGGTTGAGGGCTCATCACAAGGAATAAAGCTTTTGGGTTATGTCCTTGTTGTGGTCACAGATGCATATTACTAAAAAGTCCCATATTAAGACGCAAAATCTGTTCAGTGCCTCTAGCTTTTCAAAAGTTGTGTAAGCAAAGTCAGCCAGTGGCGCGAAACTTCAAATTCATTTAATTTGTGATATCACTTGATTTAATTTTTCATAATTTTTCATCGTGAAAATCCCTTTCGTATTATATGAAGCCTTAAAAAATTTATTCTATTCATTGATAGACAAATGAAAGGTTAAAAATGAGAACCTAATAAAGAGCCTTCAACCATTCTGTTATTATCATACTGAAAAATCAAGTCGTGTTTGTTAACTTCTGTGTTTAGATTTAGGTTTGTAAAGTTCAATTGATCATTGCAAAATTGATTACTACCCAATATGTAAACACAAAAAGTAAATAGACATGGGTTTGTTGAAAAGAGAACCCTTTGTTGAATTCCAGTATGTCAAAATTCATATCAAAATTAACAAACTCATATCTAGAGTTAACACTAGGCAGTACAATAATTAAAAAGATGTCTTATTAGAAAGCATTAAAAGAAAGTTGTTCTCAGTTAGCTCATCGTTAAAACAATATTGTTAATAGTGATCATTGCATTGGTAAGCATTGGTCTTACCAATAAGTTATGCATGTCAGTCGTTTGATTAAGAATAAGTTAAAAATTTGTTTCTGTCAGTTGTGTGGTATAGTATTTATTTTCATGGGTTTTAGCACTAAAACTTTTGTCGTTCCTTATCAATGATATGAAAGTTAAGGAAGTATACACCCAGTATCGCACTCTGAAGTTGATCTTTTAAATTCTAAAATTCTGTCAGATTTTTACCAGATTTTCATAAATTTTCTAGATAGTCTCCAGACTGCGTTGTTTTAACTTAAATATATACCAACAAGCCGTAACAAAGTTCACTAGTGTTAACACATCATAACTGGTATGAATAACAAGCTATATAACTTGTCATCAGTAGATTTCACGATCATTAAACTGAAAGTCATCACATTGAACTTTCTACTTCAGGAAAGAGATTTTTCCAAGTTTATATTTGTCAAGTCAGTGACAAGGATTGATAAAACTCATTAACAGAAATATTCTTACTGACTTACGAACAACTTGATATTTATTATAATTCTAACAAACAGTATACTTTATATATTAAAAGTGATGGAAACCGTTAATTGGTTGTAATATTTGCCTGACTCTGATTCAAGTAGATTGTCATTATAAATCATTTGTTCTTCATCAATTTAGTAACACTTAATTATTTTTGTTTAGGCTAGATATTCTGGAGCTGGTTTAAATCCTGCACGGTGTTTGGGTACAGCTGTCGTTGCAAACGACTTCACTGACTTGTGGGTAAGATGTTAAGAATTTTTACGCCTTCACAATAAGAATATATAATACATCATAGAAACCTATGGTTTTTAACAATTTATATCCACGTGATTTAACAAATATAAATTTGTACATTTAACTTTACATTATAAATATGGACAAGATATGATTTGTAGTAGGATTGTTTTATACATTTATGTGCAATGTATCGAATGTTTCGTTTAGTGTTTGCTAACTTATAACGTTATTGATGGAAATGTATATCTCTAAGTAACATAAGTTGATTAATGTGTAAGTTAACCAATAAGCAAAATATAAGTAATATAGATGAAGTGGGATAATTATTACATAATAATGAAATCTGAAAATTCATGATTATTTATTATAGAGAAGTAAAAGTAATAATCGCTAAAGAAATTAGATTATGAAAAATCATATATTTACTGAAATATGATTTTAGTTGATAGAGTAGCTAAGTTTAATAAGAAAAGGGTACTGATTAACTCTGAATTAAATGTATATGTTATCCCCGAACTTACCAAAAAAGGTTAACTGATTCATACAAATGACCATAGTGATTATAAGATCTTTTCACATGAATGTATGCTACTGTTATGATATGTAAGTTTAAGAGAGAGTTTTTACTCACAATGAATTATAATAAAATGGATACTAGAACATTTATTAATTTCACTTCATTTTCTTCTTTGTATATCATTCTGAAATAGGTATATCTTGTTGGTCCATTATGTGGTTCCTTAATTGCTGTAATTCTTTATGAAGTAGTCTTGTCACATGGTGTTTCTTTACATCGACTAAAAGCTTGGTTGACCAATCCAAATTTCGATCGCAATGTGGATTATACTTCTAGAAATGAAATATTTAGTGTAAGTTCAATAAAAATCAAATTTAAAATATTCTTTTTCAAGACTCGAAATATTCATTGTGTTTAGAAATGTAGATCAAATTTGCACGTAATTTGTGTATTCTATTACGTTTGTTTAGCGATCAGTCAATATATTAGTAACTCTGTACAAAACATGATGTCTTAAATGTCACTGTTACGCCTATTTAAAAAGTTAATGCCAAATTACGGCCAATGTCCCTTCTGAAAATCAGTGATACAATTAATATAGGTACATGGAATGTCCAAGCAAATGTGGGGGATTTGAATGGACAGTCAAATACCTGTAAAAATGAGTAGTTACAATTTGGCGGATCTCAGAATAAGTGAAACTCATTAAATACAAGCTGGACAGAAAAGATTAGATTCGACAGAGATGTTGTTATACTATGGTCATGAAGAAGAAAATACTTTGCATACACAAGGATTTGACTTGATGTTGTCCAGTGGAGCACGAAGGGTACTTATAAGATGTGAACCTCATAGACCCAGGGTCATCAAGGCATTCTTCGGAGCAAAGAAGGAGGAAAAAGCAATGAATATTATCCAGTGCTATGCATCCAACAATGATGGAAGCAAAGATGATAAAGATCAGCTTTGTAAGAGGCTGCAACCGGTTGTAGAGAAGTGTCCAGGAAAGGACCTAACCATCCTGATGGAGACCTAAACGACAAAGTCGGAATAGACAACACCGGGCATGAAGATATCATGGGATGGCATGAAGCGACTGGAAGAAAGGAACGAGAATGATGATAGATTTGCAACTCTATATGACCTCAACACAATGGTTATGGGCGGAAAAAGCTATATAGGTCTCACTGGATTATATTACAGAAAATCAGATAGATTATATTTGCATTGCTAAAAGAATCAGAGGATCAGTGAAAGAAGTGAGAACCAAGAGAGAAGATGACAGAACTTCAAATCACCACCATCTGGTGTTTTCCAAGATAAAACTGAAACTAAAGAAGCATTGAAAAAATGAACGAACACCATTACAAAGGTTTGACACGGACTTATTTCAAGATACTGATAAACTCAACCAATTGAAGATGGCTCTCAACAACAGGTTACAAGCCTTGAAAGATCTACTCAAAGAAAATGAAACTACTTTTGGGAAAAACTGGAAAGGGAACAAAGAAGAACTAACTTCCACGTACTGGGAGGAGCTAAACCGCGAGAAGCATCATCATAAGGAATGTATCTCCATTGAAACCCTGGACAAGATTCAAGAAAGGAATTCATTCGACGAACTAAACTGCAAATCCGTGCATGGAGGACAGCTGAAAGATGCATTCCAAGTTAGAATCGGTGTCAGACAAGACTACTTACTGTTGTAACGGGTGACTGCAGATTTTGATAAGCAGCGTTTATATCGATCAATCCAGTGACACGTAAAACACGTAGCGAACGACCTAGTGCCCTGATTGGTCCCGCTTCCCTGTCTAGCCCAGCCAGTTGAGTCTAGAACGCAAGTCACAGCCTCTGAGTTATGAATCATTATATTTCAGGCATACTCTATTTATATACTAACCAAATAGACCTCATCGTACCATAAAAATAGAAAACAATATCTGTACAACATTTAACGAGTGAAATAAATAACGGCCAATAGGAAATGTTCATTTAATGTCCAAGGACATCACTAGACTTAACATAGTAATGATTGGCACATTATTCCTCAGCATCCATAACACTTACTCTCCCACTTTCTCTTGCTTTTGGTGGTTGATTGGATTATGGAGACCTTCACATCTCACGGAAAGCAAGAAATACAACGAACAGCTTGCATGCAGCTAGATGACTTCACAGTATCCTAGCTTTTCTATCTAATTACTTACGCTAGTCACTCCTTGTGAAGAGGCACATCAGTAAATACAGGTGAAAACAGGCGGATAAGCCTTTTCAATCGTGGCCCTCAACATACACTAGACAAAAGCAAGATCCCCAAGTAGAGCACTGAGAACACCAAGCCAGTCGCGCCTTTTGGAGAAAGTCTGAAAGAGGTGGATAGTTTCAAGTATCTTAACAGCATTATCGATGAATAAGAAGGATACGATGCAAACGTAAAGGCAAGCATTGGCAAAGTACGGCCAGCCTTCCTGCAGCTGTAGAACATATGGAACTCAAAACAGCTGTCAAACAACGTCAGTCAGAGTCTTCAACACGAATGTGAAGACAGTCATACTGTACGGAGCTGAAACGCGGAGAACTACCACAACCATCAACAAAAAAGTACAAGTATTCATAAACAATTATCTATGCAACATACTCGATGTTCGTCGACCGGACAACATCAGCAATAGCCTACTGTGGAAGAGAAGAAACCAACTTCCAGCTCAAGAGGAAGTTAGGAAATAATGCTGGAGGTGGGTAGAACGTACGTTCTGGAAATCATCAAGCTGCATCATGGCAAAATCCATAACTTGTAATCTTGAACAGAAAGAGAAACGTGGAAGATCAAAGAACACAGTGAGTCGAGAATCGGAAGCCGAAATGAGAAGAATGAATAGCAACTGGAAACAGTCAGTCAGTCACCTATAACATAGGACCACGCACATACATTCATCAATCCAAGTTGCCATACCCGATTAGCCAAACAAGATGAACACCATATTCATAGGAGCAGTTACTTCAATGTTAGTAATATATAAAAGAAAGATTGTGTATAAGGGTATAATACGGGAAGAATTAGTTCGTAGAAATAAGAGTATAAAGCAATTTTAATCTCACGGTTTAAGGGAAGACAAAGAGTGTATACAGCTGCAATATTGTGATCGATTCTGAGCCATATCACCCAGAGTCTTCAACCATTGGTTATGATAGTCGCACGGACCTCAAACAAGTGGTCTGCATCTACCAACATGACTCAGACCAGAAGTTAGTGACTTCAAGCACTGATGCCACGTTTTGGTTTGGCTGATCCTTACTTCCCTCCAACCGTCTCCGACACTTATCAGCATTGTGAGTCTTGGTAGTCGGTGTTCAGGCATACGTAACACGTGGCCCAACCATCTCAGTCTATGTAGATATACAAGATCATCAACTGATTTAGCATTAATCTCTGGTACCATGCGCCTAACTTCATCATTACTTACCCGGTGATTTCAGCAGATGCGAGCAGCATTTCTAAGACATATAAGATCAAACAATAGAAACTTACTACTATCTTCTACCCTTAATGGCCGCGTTTCGCAGCCATAAAGTAGGACAGGACGAACTGCTGCACAGTATACTCGTCTTCCCCATGGGTGACGTAAGTTGGCAAAGGCCAAGCAAGCTTTCTGAATCCGTGCAACGACTACGTCAGACACCAACCTTTTAGGACTGATCAGACTTCCACGATAAGTGAAGTTGTCGACGAGTTTGACTACTTCACTCCCTATCCTTAGTTCAGGTGTTGACGCAGGTCAGTCCTGGAGCAACAACTTTCATGTAGAGGGGGAATAGTTATTTCGATGGTAAGATCATGAGTCAATTGAAAACCGTCTTATATTAATCAACATATGCTCACTAGTGACTGGCTTCAAGAGGTATATCCTGGAGTTCTAGTGAGAAGTATTGACCAGTGGAGTTCAACCAGATCTGCTGTGAGACAGTAACTCACTGAAGACTATGGTGGATGTATCGGTCAATTTCGTGGATTAGTTGAAGTTAGACATTAACACCGTGGGATGCCGGCTTAGTGGTCTAGTGGTTAAGTGCTCGCGCGCGAACCCAGTAGGTCCTGGGTTCGAATCTCGCAGGGGGCGAGGAGGTGGATGCGCACTGCTGAGGAGTCCCACAATAGGACGAAACGGCCGTCCAGTGCTTCCAGGTTCTCCATGGTGGTCTAGCTTCAACTGACTCATGATCTTAACCATTGAAAAATTTCCCAGTCAATAATGATAATCGTACAAATTATGAGAATCATTCTGGAAAAAATGTAAATAATGGCGGAAAATAATTATAAGATAAGTCTATTTCAGCTATTCCCACAATGTGAACTATTAAAATTTCAAGTTGTCAAGTTATTTCCCCCCCCGGATAAAGATTTAGTTACTTTGAGTATTTAAATTTAATTTGATCAATAAAAGCTCATCTTTATGGCCTTCAAGATGACTTTCTGTAAATTATACATGATGTTGCAAAAGATTTATAGTCTAATTGTTAGTAGATGTCCATCCCAAAAAACGTTTAGTCGCTGAGTTTAAAAATTCATTTAAATTCAAGGATACTCGATGCTTTCTTTCCCTGGTTGACGACACCTCATAAGTGAGCAGCCTTAATCTATCAAGTGGTTAAATCCAAAATAAGAAAATTATGGAGAATAAAAAACAAAGATGTACCGACTCTCTTTTTTGAAGTATGGTTAACTTATCCTACTACTTAGATCACTTTTAAGGTTACTAAGTATTTATAGTCAGTTGTCACATCCATAAATGTATTTTGCATTTTTTAAATAATAATAATAACTCAAGTATCACTGTTTATTATATCGACAGTAAATTTCTGATGTAGTAAAGGTAATTTTAAAAATGAACTTTTAATTGCTTTTTTAGGATTAAGAAAGAATGTAAAATCATATTGTCCACTGATCAACCAAAAAGATATTTGTACATAATAATCGAAACGATTGTCATGTAAACACTCACAAACTAAACAAATTAGTTATATTTTACCTTTACCGTTGTCACATATGCACAGATATTAGTTGATTTCAAATAAAAGAGATAAATAAACGAAAATACTGTCATTTTTCATTCATTTTGTTTATAAATACTCCATCGCATTTTATTTGCACTCAGTGTTTGTTAAATCGGTTTGTCAAGTGATAACGTATTGGTTTCATTGAAGAAAGTAGGTTTCCGACATAATTTACAGAATCGTTAACTGGTGACAGAAATAACGAAACCACGGTCCTGATCTACTTTTGAGTATTTACAGATGACAAATCCTTTACTTCTCTAATTGCTAAGGCGTATAACTTTAAAATTCTCCTTAATTTAGTAAGACTCCAGTGACTATTTGCTTGCTTCCAAGTACTGTTAGTTATTACGTTGGAATTATTAATTTTAACAATTACGTATCACGTTAAATTATTATGTATAAAGCCTTGATGTAGACCCTATCTGTAGCAGGGTACTTTACGTGTTATCTGCCAAAGGTTTTAGCAGCGTAAATATATGATGCAGAAAAGTCGTATTGGCCTATATAGACTCTTTATAATGCCAACGTGAATATGTACATGATATTCATACTAGTCACTGTCAAATATTCACTTTTAAACCTAGGTATGTGCGTATGTATCTGTTTGTCTATAATCTAATTAACCACCTGTATGCTTGCCTTTGTTTAATGTGTTTTTTTTATGCGAAAGATAGCTAACACTTGACTTATTAGATAACACTCCCTTTGTCTATTAATTTTTATTGTCTGACTGATCGCACATGAATGTCCAAAGTAAAATTCTCCCAACAAAGTTCATATCTCACTTTTCTTACCACTGTTACACAATAGGGTTAGACTAAGTATGATGTGTGGAATGAAACTGAGAATTATATCTCATGTCTCACTCATCATCTTCGTCATTATTGGAGTCAACTGGAGCAATTTAGTAGCAAATCTAGTAGATTGACCAGAATGAAAGTAGAACCGAGTCATTATGCATTCATTTATAGAACTCATCAAAAAACGTGTGAAAGAAAGCAACAATATATTGTAAATATAACAAAAGCACGTTATAAGTGGACGAACAGGCGTCAATAAGAACTTCTAAAACATCCTAGGTATAAGTTCGGCCAAAATGTAGTGCTGTGTCATAATTAAAACCCATTCGAAAATTCGTTGATGTGAGCCAATGACTTTATAGATGGTGTAACTGTTATCACAGGAGATTATCTTGCCTGTTTGACTTTCTTCTGGAATCCCCGGTCACTTGAGTTGAAACCTGAGTATTAACTTTTTTTCCAGCGTTCAATAAGATCATGATATCTAGCATTTTCTAGTATTTTTCCGTTCACTTAGTGGGCTAATATTGCATACAAGAGTGTGATTTTCACTCGAAATTTCACTTCATTTATCTAAAGCTATCCACATGTGTTTTCTGTGATCATAACACTACAGCACAATTTGTCAGATAAAAGAACAAATAAAATAAAAGTTGGTGTTCTAAATGGAACCTTAAACAAATGTTATGCTCTTATATAAAATATTCCATTAAATGAACGGAAAATTGGTAGATTCTTCTCAGATATTAAACACTGAGAGGCGAATGCAGTTCAAGTTCCTATTTTGAATTCATTAGAAAAGTAGTACTTGTCTAACTGTAATGCTCGCATGCAATTATTATTAATTTGCAGATTTTCGAGGCACTTAGTTCAAATTACAAAATACTGCACCCGTAGTCGATCCCATTATATATACATCCTACTTAACGTATACTCTGTCAACTTGACGCATTTAAAAAAGCGACGTTGTAGGACCCTTTCTAGGAGATTTGCATGATTGTTTGCAGTACAATTACTCAGGTCGTAGAAGGTAAAGTAGAAAGTGAAGCCATAAAATGCTTGGACATGTTGTAATGGCTTATTTAGTGACTAGGCTAAAAAAAACTGCCTGTAGATGTGTTACAAAACCCTGTATATATTAAGCAGAACAGGTCGATGAAAGTAATGGAGAAGCTTTGTCCAGCTGCTGAAATGTGGTGGTAACACGAGTACTAACAGAGAAGAATGGGTCATTGTAGTAGGTGGTGATATTGGAAGTGAATGCTACCAAGACCTGTTTGGATAGGTCGTTCTCCCTAGGAGTTTTATATGCCAATGCTCGTAGTCTAGAAAATAAATCCAATGAACTAGGAGTATTAGTAACCAAATTAAGGCCACTCATTGTAGCTGTGACGGAAACTCGGTTAACCCGTGATCTCGACATTACTTCAGAATTATCCGGATATCAATACCTAAGGAGTGATGGACATCGATACAGGAAAGGAGGTGGTGTCCTCTTATACATGGCCAATAATATAAACATCCGCTCCTCTACTTTCGAATTTGTGAAATTTGTGAAGTCATTAGCTATGAGCTGGCTATCGGATGTTGTACATTTATACTCGGTGTCATCTCAAAACAGTACAGATCCATTTATTGTAAGACTAGCAATTTTAAAGCATCAGTAAGTAAGGCTAGATAGTCGTATGAAAAACAATGAACTAACGATTGTAAAAATAGTCCAAAACGGTTATTCTCGTGTAAGATCCGTTTTGAGTGCCTTGTGTGTTTGTGAAAATCCCTCCATGTATATACTTACACTTTGCTCCTATTGATTCTTTTAGTTGTACATTGCTAACTTTTTGACTACATTTGAATTGTTAATATTTGTATTTTATTATGGTTTTCGTTTTTACTACACCTTCACTAATTCCCCATGTTTCTTCCCGAACTGCACTTATGTTGTTTTACTTTATACTAAGTCTGGGCGGCAGCCATTTTGGTTTGTTCCTGCTTTTGATTGCTTGACCTGTGTTGACTGGAATTGTGCATTTTGGTTGTGAATTGAAGCACTCTTCCAGAATTGAAAACACTCTGTGTTATAGAGCGACCAATTATTACCTTTTGAACGAATCTGTACGTGATCTATCCAGACAGGATAGAATAACATTCATTTGTGGTGATTGGTAATTTTCTTGCATCTTCTATCAACTTCTTTATTTATTGTAATTTAGATTTAATTGATTGAACAATCATTGGTTGAGTAGCCGGGTGATAATATTTGTTTAGGTAATGATTTACATTAATTTTATTATGAATTATAGAACCGCTAGTTACCCGATTACTTGTTCTGATTTCGACGGGAAAGGGCGCGTGTCTGAAATCCCCTGTCGGCTATTCTTCAACATCCAAACCGTAGTTTGGATCCTACACTCGTATATAAAAAAGAGAACTCAGAGAAGCGTTGGAATTGCATCACTTTTGGTGCAAGAAAAACCATTAATATCGGCAAGAGACAATGCCAAGAAAGCTGAAGCATTATTGGAATATTTCAGTAAAACGTTTTCTAATAGCAATGAGGAACGATCAGCGAATGACTGTTAATAGGGCAGCTTGTTGATGGATCTTGTATTTATTGAGAAAGGTACTGTCTTAAGAGTACTTCAACATCTTAAACCTGATACATCCTATGGTTTTAAAGATATTCATCCTAGGATTATGAAAGCCATGTTTGATGTAATTGCTGAATCTATAGCCGTACAGTTTGATAGGTTTCTGCAGCAGTTCAGACTGCCAACAGACTTGAAAGACACGACAATAACCAGTGCAACTGTAAAACTGGTGAAAACGATTGTTTGGATGGCTGTTATAATCTATATGGAAGTGCATAATCTTTTATGCAGGGAAAAAAATGGTTTTCGGAAAGGCCTATGAAGTTTGACAAATCTTCTCATTGCAGGAGAAGATTAGGCCGTGGCAAAAACTGAAACATTTCTGTAGATGTGACTTTTTTCATAGATCTAAGTATAGCTTTTAATAATGTCTCTCATTCTGGTCTTAAATTAAAACTGCAATGTTTCGGAATCCATTACACGGTCACAGACTGGATAAATGGCTTTCTACATGACAGGAGACAGAGGGTAAGGGTGAATGGAGCTCTTCGCCGATGACATAGAGATTTGTAGACCCATACACATTATGTCAGATAGAACAGTATTACAGGATGATCTCAACACATTGGTGGCATGGATGAACGGATGGTCACCAGAAGTAAATCCTAATAACAGCGTGGTGATGCAATTAAATAACTATGATGATTCATATCACTACGCAATATGTGGATTCGTGTTACTCAATGTAAGAAATTACAGAGATTTAGGAGTCATAATAACTCTAAAGCTGCTTCTGCAAAAGGCTGTAGGGTATTATGGTCTATTCATAGGTCTTTTCAGTATTTGGATGAATAAATGCTTAGATTATTATCCCCAACTTCCGTTAGACCGCATCTGGTACAAGACGTTCAAGCAGGAAGTCCTCGTCTCAATTATGGGGCGGATGTGTTGGAACGAGTCCAACGACAAGGGACGAAAATACTAGAGTGTCTATCTAGCCTATCTTATGAGGGCAGAGTGAGACACCTCAACTTATTTCCTTTATCTTACCGTAGAATGCGGGGTGATCTAATGTTGGCTTACCGTATGCTGAACGATGACCTTGGTATTGATCTATCTTATCTTTTCCTTCTGTCTAGGACTGATTATTTGAGAGGACATTCGAAGAAATTTCAAAAAACCGGGATCAAATCGTCCACGTCTGGAGTTTTGAGTAGTGAAATACTGAAATTCTCTGCCGGAACATGTAATATCAGCCGCATTCAAAAAAGACAGTGGTATTTTTCCTCTGAGTGTATTTCATATTGTCGATCGTCAAATTATGTATCCAGACTGCTGTTTTTGCTTTAATTGAATTTATTTCATTTAAAGTAATCCCCAAGAGTACTAAAGAAGTTTGTCATCTGTATCTTACGAGTACATATACAAAAAAAACACCAAGGAAACTGGTGTTTATTCTCCATCGTT